TCATCAGCTGCTTGTGTTGCGTGACAAATAAGGGGATCATTTAATAAAAATCTCTGGAAAGATCGAGATCGGAGATAGAGGAGCCTCTCATCTATCTAAATGCATATGAGCCCCCATGTCCCTCTATCCGCAGCCTGTACCCACACACCCCCCTGCCCCATACGCACACACACACACACACACACACACACACACACACAGAACAACACGGACAAAAATACCAGGACAAAAATGCACACACAAATCCTCACATACTCACATGCAAAACCAACCACAGCAGATTTACAGTATATGATGAATACACAACTTGTTCACTATGTAAATCAGCAGACAAGCTGGATTCTCATCTTTATGACACAGCCTACAGGTCTGGACTGTTTCTGTGTCCATACCACCCATCGGCACACCCGGCTTCGTAAAACCAGACCCCCCACCCCAGGAGCACAAATCCAGCGTGCCCCCCCGCACATGAGGAGGGCATCTGGGCGGGCATTTTTAATCACGCGTGGCGAAGCCAAGGTTATATACAGTTGCATCGTCGGGAACTGGGCTCAAAGTCAGGAAATGTCATCTTGGCTTCCCCTCGCCACAGTGCCCCCCCCCCAGCCCCCCACCCCATGTCATTTGCAGGTCAGTCCCTCAGCCCTAGATGTGTTTAAATAAACTCGTCCAGCTGTTTGCTGCGAAAATTCCATTCACACAAGCCTCCATCCCGTCCCCCAATCCCCCCCCCCCAATGCCCCATGCACCCTAATCAGCATGCGGTTTGCTGCTCGCACCCGCGCAGAGCCATCGCCCCGCACGGCGCACTTTATTGCAATTATCACTAATGCGCAGCAGAGTCCAGGCCGCAGTGGGCGTCTCTCGCACGCGCCATGCTCAGGCTGTGACGGTAACGCGCTCCGCATGCACGCGCGTCTGTTACCGTCAAACGCGGGACGTTCTGGGTGACTTTACCTTTCCCGTTTTTCTGTAGCTCTAGCGATCGCCGGCTGCTTCATACAGCTTCACATAAAAAAGCCAAGACAACCGCTAACTTTGTAATGAGCATGTGCGAAGAGGCGGGGGGGGGCTCAGCCCAGGAACAGGGCAGGGGAGAAAGTGGCACACGGAGGGCTCGGTTATACACCCCCCACGCCCCCCCATCAAGACGCATGACAGACTCCTCTGCGCTGGCTCCTCCCACCTCCAGTCTGTACCTCCCTTCCCAGTGACTCCCTGCTCTGTGTCTCCGCACAGCTCCTGCTCCTCCTTCCTCTGGGGAGGGTGAGGACAGCTTGGGGGTCTCCGTGATCCCACAGCGGGCCGGCATTACATCAGTGGCCCCCACCCCCCAGCACCTCTCACCAAACTGAGCAGAGGAGTCCCATTAACGGGACCGTGAAGTTTTTCCTGACGGGTTGGGGGGGGGGGGTCACCCCAGGGACGTGGGGGGGAGGTGGGAGGGCAGACCAGTGATCCATCCGGCACCTCGTACTCCGGACCTTCCCTGGACGCGGCCTGAGCAGTCACACACACACACACACACACACACACACACACACACACACACTTGCTATATAAACACGTGCAATTCCATGTGCGTGCATGAATGTATATCAGTATAAATATTTGTGTATAGTCTTTACCCTCTATCTTGGATCATTTAAAATAAACTTGAACATACAACATTCTAGGTTTTATCTTATCTTGTTTGCCTGCCATTGTTGTTAATATGCTTGCGTGAGAGAGAGAGAGAGAGAGAGAGAGAGAGACGAGGCCTGATCTCTCCAAAATAAGCTGCCATGAAGTCATGTTTGGCAGTGCTTGCAGCAATTTAGTGAGCGCCCCCACCCCGCCCCCCCCGGGGGCCCGGCCACCATACTTCGCTGCCAGAGATGACACTGCGGCTGAGCTTAGGCCCGTATGGCAGACACCCCTGGAAACTGCGCAGTCAGCGCAGGCCCTGTCCGGGACGCATGTGTCAGGGGGCCTATAATGCAGCCCCCCGCCAAGACACGTTTGACCTGTGATATGCCCCCTCATTGATATGCCCCTCTGTGATATGCCCCCTCTGTGATATGCCCCCTCTGTGATATGCCCCCTCTGGATGTGCCACCCGTCTGTCCGCCCGCTTAAATCTGTCATTAAGCGCTTTCCGGGCTTTGCCACGTTTGGACCCCTTCTCTCCCGTCCCCGGACCTCGGCGGGAACGTTACGGTGACATCGTCCTTCAGCTATGTCCGCTAGCATTCAGGTTTCGTGAAGAGACAGCACCTCCACATTCCACATGCTCCGCCGGCAAGGTCAGGCCCCACGTGGTGGAGAGCCCGGGAAAGCGGGCCGGGCCGGCCGGACGGACATGTTGAAATGCAAATGATTATAAAGATAAAAGACGAATCAGCCTCTTTAAGGGAGACCACTCCCACTTCCAGGGATTATTCCAGGGAAGCTTCGGTCTCACCGACGTCACTCGGAGTTCATGCTTCAATATCCATTCTGTCAGTCTTCTTACAATCTCACTGGGCTCAGTGGCACCTACCCAGAGCCTAGGCCCCTCTCTGACCTGGGGCCCCTGCACATCCACTACCCTCTCTGACCTGGGGCCCCAGCACATCCACTACCCTCTCTGAGCCGGGGCCCCTGTACATTCGGTCCCCTCTCTGACCTGGGGCCCCNACTACCCTCTCTGAGCCGGGGCCCCTGTACATTCGGTCCCCTCTCTGACCTGGGGCCCCTGCACATCCACTACCCTCTCTGAGCCGGGGCCCCTGCACATCCAGTCCACTCTCTGACCTGGGGCCCCAGCACATCCACTACCCTCTCTGAGCCAGGGCCCCTGTACATTCGGTCCCCTCTCTGACCTGGGGCCCCTGCACATCCACTACCCTCTCTGACCTGGGGCCCCTGTACATCCACTACCCTCTCTGAGCCGGGGCCCCTGCACATCCAGTCCACTCTCTGACCTGGGGCCCCAGCACATCCACTACCCTCTCTGAGCCAGGGCCCCTGTACATTCGGTCCCCTCTCTGACCTGGGGCCCCTGCACATCCACTACCCTCTCTGAGCCAGGGCCCCTGTACATTCGGTCCCCTCTCTGAC